GAAAATATACAGATGGCAACTAAGCACATGAAAAGATGCTCAATGTCAATAGCCATTAGAGAAATGCAAACTAAAGACACGATGAGAAACCACTACACACCTATTACAATTGCAAAGATAAAAATGACTGATTATTTCAAGTGATAGCCAGGATATGGAGCAAGCAGAACTCCCATGCATGGCTGGTGAGAACGTACAATAATATAACCACCTGGGAAGAAAGTTTGGCAGTTTCTTAAAAAGTTAAATCTGTACCTACTATACCATGATCAGCCATTTCATTCCTAGGTTTATCCAAAAATAAAGAAAGCATATGTTCATACAAAGACTTGCAGGCAGATTCACAGCAGTTATTCATAATACCTACAATCCAAATATTCATCAACAGATGCATGGACAAACTGCAATATATCTTTCACTAGAATACAACTTCAAAACAAAAAGGCAACAAACTATTTATACCTACGACATAAATAATCTCAAAACAATTATGTTGAAAGAAGCCAGATAAAAAAGAGTACATATGATGTGACTCCATTTATATAAAACACTAGAAGAGGCAAACTAATCTGTATGACAGAAAGCACATCAGTGGATGCTTGGAGGGATTAAAAAAAGGATATGAGAAACCTTTAGGGATATTGACCATGTTCGCTATGTTAATTGTGATGATGGTTTTATATATGCACATAAACATAATGTAATATATATAATCACAAATTGTCAAATTATTTATTTTAAATGTGTGTAGTTTGTTGTATGTCAGCACCCAGTAAGGCTGCTTAAATAAATAAGTAAAAGATCATGGTCCCATCCAAGTGATCTTAGGGAAGATGCTTAGCCTCTTAAGTGTCAGTTTTATCATCTAAAATAAGAAATCTAATAATCTCTGCCACATGGGGTTAAAGGTGGAAGATGGTCAATAAATGTTGGCCCTTTTTCAGTTTTCTACTTTTCAGGTAGCGGATTAGTAAGTAATGTTTCTGTTTCTTGAATATTAAGATTGCATGACAGGTGATCCAGCAATCTCACTTCTGGATATTTATCCAAGGGAAATGAAATCACTGTCTCAAAAAGATATCTGTACCCTCTGTGTTCACTGCAGCATTATTTACAATATCCAAGACATAGAAACAACCTAAGTGTCCATTGACAGATGGAAAAAATGTGATAGATATCTAATGGAATACTACTCAGCCATAAAAAAGAGGGAAGGAAAGCCTGCCATTTACAACAACATGGATGGACCCTGAGGGCATTATGCCAAGTGGAATAAGTCAGACAGAGAAAGACAAATACTATATGATCTCATTTATATATGGAATCTAAAAAATAAAAAAATCTAATTTATAGATATAGAGAATAGACTGGTGTTGCCAGAAGAGGGGGTGGAGGGGTAGGACAGTGGGTAGAGGTAGGGTAAAATGGGTGAAGGTGGTCAAAAGTTACAAATTTTCAGTTATAAGATAAATAAGTCCTGGAGATGTAAAAATGCTAAAACAGTAAATCCTTAAAGTTCTCATCATGAGGAAACAAAAATTGTAACTGTGTGGTGACGGATGTTAACTAAATAGATTGTGGTGATCATTCTGTAATATATATGACTAAGTATATTGTGGTGATCGCTTTGCAATATATACCTGTGTGTATACACGTATCATATTATTATTGTATGTCAAAACTAATACAATGTTATAAGATTGGATGACAGGTACTTAACATTTATCCCAAAGAAACAGTGTTTCATTTCATGACTAAATGAAACATTTTTCTATTTTTTAATATGTCCCAAGGGCTAATAGTTTAAACTCATTTCCTGATGATGGAAAGCAAAATGCATTCCAAGATTTTGATTGAGAGATCTTAGAATATATAGTTAATAAAAACCACTGGAAGTAGCTAGTACATCAATTCCTTACTTTAAAGTTGGGAATTATGTAGAAAGAAATAAGTAAACTTTTATCCTACCTTTCCTGTAAGAACTGGATTATAGGATAGTCAAATGGCCCTAGATGATGGGAAAAAGTATTCCTTGCATGAATTCTAGCTAATAAGTGAAGCATGGAAAAAAGAATAAGAAAACTACTTTTTGCAGACTCAAAACAGTTAATTTAGGCAAGAATCATTAATAGAGACTTAAACCACTAGGCGAAGAGGGAACTTTTATCTGCAGCATGACAATTACCACCTCTCAGATTACTGGACCACTGATCACTCTTAGACACTAATAATGGGACACCTGGACATTATGTACATCGTGACACAATGCAATGGGAAGCACACAGCAGCACCTAGGAAGAGGCTATGCAAAGAGGCCTCATCTAAATCTAATCAAGCCTTTAGCATCCACTTCCATTTTAGAGACAACGTATAGGAGGTTGGGGAATAACTTAATACTATGAAGAAGGAATCAGACAAATCCTGAAGGCAAAGCATCTTGTAGGACAGATAACCTGGCTTCTTCCACACTCCAATGACAAGAAAACAAATAGGAGAGCACTGTTCTGAATTAAAAGAATAAATGCAACCTGAAGTTCTTATTAGATCCTGGTTCAAATAAGTCACCAAAAAAAGTGTGTTTTGGGCATAATTTAGGAAATGTTATTTGTTTAAAAATGTTTTTGCAAATTAATAGATGAAACTAATATACCAAATTGTGAAAATAATTATAAACCCGGGTAACGGGTCTATGGGAGTTTATAGCCTTCTCGCTGCTGTTCTGTATGTTTGAAATTTTCCATAATAAAATTTCCAAAATATATGATAATATGAAATAATTTGCTGCTAGTAACACACATGAGAAATGCATGCAATAAAGACATTTACATAACTTGTTTGCCAGGCTACCGTAGTTCGATTCAAATTAGAAATTGTCGGCAATGTCCAAGTCACTAATACAGTCACATTTAACACTTGTGGTCCCACCAATCACTTTGAACCACGTGCTCCTAAGCAATTAACTTCACCCCCGAGCTCTCATTTGCGTTGCCGTGAGGATGACTTGGGTTGATACGAGTACGAACATGCCCCTTCTGAGTGACAGAGTGGAGATAGTCACTCAACAAATATTTATTTGGTATCTTCCATGGGCCAGACACATGCTGAGTGGTTTCTCACTGAGCTTGTAAACAAGGATGGCAATACAGACATTTCTCAAGTAACCACTGGCATACACAAATAAAGCAATGACAAATGCTATGAAAGAAAAGGACAGTGTGCTCTCACAGATGAGCAGATTGATCAGTAAGGAAGTCAGTCTCCAAGTTCAAGCTATTAAAACAGGAGGCATAGGAGTTAAAGCAGGGGCTCTGGGTAGAATACTTGGATTTGCATCCAGCTCCTCCACCTCCGACTAGCTGTGTGACCTTGAACAATTTACTTGAGCTCTTAGTTCCCTCATCTGTACAAGTGCAGTACCATGAGAAGAGTCCGCAAGTCGTGGGGTTGTAGTGAAGATGACAAGGTTAATAGCGTATGGTGCTTTGAACAGGACCTGGCCCATACTACACCCTCCAGAAGTGTGTCGGTTATTATCTCAATGGTCCTTTGGTCCAGAGCAAAACAAAGTAATGCTATTAACCCTGTCTGTTTGGCCTATGAGGACTTAATGAATTAATGTTTTTAATTTCATTTTTCAGGAAACCCTAGGTGCACATTAGAGTCGCTTGGAGTTTGTTTTAAAAAATTTATTATTATTATTATTATTTATGCCTACAGCACCTAGTCTTCCTAGGTGGTTTCCTATCCAAGTACTAACCAGGCTCGACCCTGCTTAGCTTCGGAGATCAGACATGAGGCTTGTTCAGGGTGGCCGGTGGCTATAGACCATGGACCGTGGTTCCACTAGGGTGCGAACCCAGGACCTTTTGCATGTAAAGGAGCCCTGCTAACCGCTACACTATGGAATCACGACCAAAAAATTTTAAAGTATATAAATGCAAATTATATAAATATAGAAATATGAACACACATACAGATGCACGGGCTCCGTTCTGAAATAAATGAACTAGAAATTCGAGGGATAGAGCCTGGGTGTCCATACGTTTTAGAAACTCCTTCCAGTGACTCATACGCAGGAAGGCAATCAAAAGGTAAAAACCCTTTCCCAGTTGTAAATCTCTCTAGCGCAGTGAGTTGACCATTACTGTTACTATTGTGGCCTCAACAGTGTACAAACCATGACCTAATCTTACAGCGAGCGAAGGATGTTAGCCTTCGGGAAAATTAAGTTCCCAATAATTCCTCTCTCTTCTCACACCATCCCCCATTTCTCCAAGAGCAGAACAAACATCCTGACGAAAAGCGTTCAGGTGAGCTTCCCGCCGCTGCCCATCTGTGACAGGCTCCGGTGCGTTTCTGCGCGCGCTTATTTTACGAACATGCTAGAACACACTCCAGGGCGAATTATTTATTTACAGATAGAAGCCACCCAACCCAGTCCAAAGATTGGAGCAGTCTTCTGGGCAGCCAGGTACCCTTCTGCATCCGGAAGGTCTTAAACACGGAAAAGCTAACACGGCTGTTTGTCATGAGGGTGGGGAGAAGGAATCGAGAGTTTCAGACGTGGGCATTGTTTTTCCATTTATGAATGGACAATTCAAGAAACGAGTTTATCAACCTTTGAGGGGCTCGACTGGGTCGTGGTTACAGGAGTGCATACATTTGCTAAAAAGGGTAGGGCTGTATTCTTATAGTCGGTGCCGTTTATTGTAGTTAAGGTACATCTCAGTTTAAAATATTTTAAAAGTACAGGGGAAAATCAAGTTGGCATGCAGTCGTCCGCTACGCGGTTCGCGTGGAGAGAGAAACCCAAGAGGAGAGTCCCAAGTTAGCTCGAAACGCCCTCTTTGACCTGCGCGCTCTGGCTCGCAGAGGGGAAAGGGCTCCAGGGTCTAAGCACGTCCTTGGACAAGGACTGTCGGGGTGGGAGCGGACAGGGCCCCATGCACTGAGGTGTTGTGCCTGGATCTGGCGCAGCCGGGAGCGCGTGGGGTTCTTACCGAGTACCAAGAAGCACAGGACAAAATACAGCACCGCCGCCGTCTGCAGCCGCCTCGCGAGCGGGATGTTGAGTGGCGCAAACTCGACCTTCATGGCCGGGCGGGGAGAAGACAGCGCCGACCGCCGCCGCCTGGAACCTCGCTGCTCTGCAGCGCCTGGGGAAAGTGCGCGGCTGCCTCCGAGCCCCGCGTGGGGCACCAGCCTAAAAAAGAGGGAAGGAGGCTGTGGCCCAGGAGTGGGCGGGGACTGGACTTTGTCTTGAGTGGGAGGGCGCACCCGGGCCGAGCTGGGGGTTGCCGGTGACGCGCGACTGGGTCCCGGAGCAGCTAGCGCGCCCGGGACGCATTGGCTGGAGCGCCCCGGCGCCCGCGGGAGGCGGAGAGGGATCCCCTGGCTGCCCGCCCCGAGCCAGGCAGCGTGGGCCCCTGCAACCTTGCCGAATCCCTGGGACCTCCACTGGAGTCTGTCTATTGTTCAAAGGATCGATCACTGTGCGCTCGGCTTCAGCATCCGCCTTTAAACCCACCCCTTCCTCTGGACCCTCTGTGGCTGGGGAAGGATTAGTTCCAGGAATCGCCCACCACCTGGAGGAGGGCGTGGGAGTTAGCGTCTGTGGAAGTTAGCGTCTCTGAGAGCAGGGTACTCATCTGTTTATTGGTCTGTGTCCCCCTACACCACCCCCAAATTGGGGGAGGCGGGAACCTGCCCTCCTCAGATTCCTACACGAGTCCTGGAACTCTTTCACTTATTAATTATTCAACAGACATTTATTGAGTACCTACCACATATGTGAGCTGGAGAGTCCTTGAAGTGGGGGAGGGAGGGAGCTATGGGAAAACATGTTAGCTGGAGAGCACTGGGCAGGATCGGGGGAGAGAGCAGTTTTAGCTGAGTGGGTCATTTCTGCAGGCCCTTTCCTTTGCATTTTTTTCTGATGCCTCCTCTCCTCTCTCAGTAAGACTTGCCACCGAAAGATTTCAATTATAATGTGCTAAATAGAAGGATGAATTCCAAGTAGTGAGCACCCACTATGTTTTCTTTATAAATACTAATTACTGTATAGTTGAAAAACACCAGGCGGCAGGTGGCTGTCAACTTCATTGCTAAAAGAGACTGGAACAGGGCCAAATACAGTCATGAGTCAAGGATAGAGATATGTTTGAGAAATGCATTATTAAGCAATTTTGTCGTTGTATGAACATCGTAGAGTATACTTAACACTGGTATAGCCTACTATATACCTAGGCTATGTGGTAGTGCCTGTTGCTCTGTAGAGGAGGAAAAATAAATTTTCTTCTACTTTCCTGGGTTCTTAGCTAAGACATTGCTGTAATAAAAGACAATTAACAGGAGTAAAACAAACAAACGTTTAATAAAATGTATACCTCCTGTGCACATAGGAGAGACTCAGGAACACCGAGTAACTCACCAAAATGGCTGAAGCCACCACCTTAAATACCATCTTCTCCCCCTTCCAAGACAAAAGAAGAAGCAGTCAGTTATAGGAGGCTACCAGAAAAAACGCAGTAAACAAGGATGACATTGTTATGCATATTTAAGTAGTTGCCTTCTGCATTGGTAAGTTTTTAGAGATAAAGTCATCCCCTTCTACCTGGTACAGTGAGGGAAAAACTCTTACAAATAAAGATTTCCCTTACAGGTGTAATTTCTACTTGGTTTTCAGAGCTTCTGCCAGGTCTACTGTTTCTTACCATTAACAAGTCTAAAATAATCCTTATGCCAATGAGGTGAAAATTCTATTTTAGGGTGAAAATTCTGTTCTCCTATTGCTCCTAGGCTACAAATCTGTATAGTATATTAGTGTACTGAATACCATAGGTAATTATAACACAATGGTAGCTATTTTCATAATGCATTGTTCTACCACATGAGACAGTGAAGCAATAGAAAATTTTTTGCTCCATTATGGCACCACTGTTGTGTATATCATCTTTCATTGACCAAAACGTTTGCCATGCCCTTCTCAATATTTTAATTGAGAGAAGATTAGATAAAAATGAATACCAAGCCTGGGTAGTTCAGGGAGTTGTTTGTGACTTTTTGTATGTAAAACTTTCTGGTTTGGGTTCTTCTGCTAGTAGAGCGGTCAATTTCTTTTTCCTTTTTAGATTTCTTCCCTGAACCTCTCCCCAGGGCTAGGTGGGGATACTATGAGTACATGCCCATAAGACATTGTACAAAGCCCTTCACCCCAGAGCAAACATGAGAAATAAGCTTGAGCTCCAGTTTTGCAGCCAAAGACGTCCAGGCTCAAAGTCACACAGCAGGTATTTAAAAAACAGTTTTGTCTGCAACCTGGAGAGGAGAGTCATCCCTTCATCAATCCAATCAAACATGAACAGACATTTGATGAGCGCCTGTTTTGCATTTGGCATTCCCCTGGGTTCTGATGATGGAAAAGTGAATTAAGACATGGTCTGTAAGCCTTTGAGAATTTGCACCCATTCATTCATTGACTATTTGTGGAAAGGCTTCTGTGTGTTGGCACTGGGTGGGGAGAGGAGACGAGCTGCGACAGTGAATAAGAAAGCTCTCTGTCCTCATGGGACTCACAGTCTAGTGGGAGAAACAAAAAATAACCACATAGGTATATAACCAAATGTGACAGTGCCCTGACAGAAACATACAGATTCCAGTGACTGAAAATAATTAGCACTGATTTCTATCAGATGGGAGGAAAGAAGAGTGGAAATAGGGAGGCTCTAAGAAGCCGTGGGTAGGGTAAGAGTAGAAAACAGTGGCTCGGTCTACTGTGGTACAAAGAATAGAGATGGGGTTGGGATTTGCACAAGAGATATAAATGACAGGACTGACTGATAAATTGAATTCACAATCAATCGGTAAATAAGAAAAGCAAGACACCCAACTCTTACTCCTAATCACTTGGAGTTTACTGGACTGACTCATGTTTTTGTCACTTTCCTAGAGCCCTTAGCTGGTAGGAAAAAACCATCATCTCTCACCAAGCTGACTGAAGCAAAGCATGGACCCACCAGGCCTCGGACAATGCGACAGCCCATCATCATTTAGCTCATCCACTCAGCTGACGTTCAACACGTTTATCTGTGTACATATTGTGTCCCAGATAATTGGAGTCGAATGGTTATTGCAATTAAAAGATGAGAAAGTTTTAACTCATTAGGCTATTCAAGACAACTCATCTATATGAGTTTAGCTGATTTCTGGAACTAAAACTAACAGGAAAACATGGACCTCAGACATTACCTTTTCAAGCTACACATTTTGTGGAATAGGGAGCCAACAGCAGAGAAGCGATTGCCCAAGATAATCCAGCCAGTTACTGGCAGGGAGTAGACCTAAATCTCTTTATAGCCACACTAAAACGGGAGAAGCCATGCGGTGTGGGATAATGGTTTTAAACTTTGATTTTACCAGGAGAATCTTTTTAATCTTCAAAGAACTCCAATTTATAAGAGAAATTCAAGTGAAACTGCTCTTGTTGGAAAGGAATACAGAAACTGGCTCTCACTTCTCAGTATCTTCCTTCTTCCTGCAGTGACTGTATTTTTGGAAAAAAAAATGAAATCAACATCAAATAGGTATAGAAATTCTGAGGATTCAGCAAAACTCAGGTTGGAAATCACTGCTTATTTACTTTTTTCTCTTTCTTTTCTTCTTCACTCTTGTGTGTGTGTATGGGGGCTGGGGATAGACTAATATTTGGAGAAATACTTGTTTGAATGGGGTTGCAGTTTAAAAAAAAAAGTGATATATCAACATTACTGAGTACTTATGCCTACCAGGTATTTTTCCTGTCTGTTCTGATTTAAATCCTGCAGCAACTCTTCAGAGGAGGTTCTGTCATCCCTTTTACCTATAAAGAAATGAGAGTAAATGTCAAACTAGTTGTTCACCTAGTGAGTAGAAAAACCAGGTTCCTGATTTTTGAAAATAGGTTTGTCTGTTTCTAGAGCCTGAGAAAATAACTCCCATATTAAGCTGTCTTTCAGATGATATCACAAGGAAGGGAGGGCATGTTTTCTGGAACAAAGGAACAAGTCACTGAATAGTGGGCAGAATGCAGAGGACCAAATTTGTCAAAGTTTGGGTTCAGGTTCGTTATCCATTCAATCGACAAATATTTACTAATCACATACTATATGTTTGGCTTTAGGTATTTATGAATACTAAAACGTACATATATTTTTCAATATGTTCATTCGACAAAAATGCATCAAGCACCTCTGCTACAACAAGTCCTGAGGAGAGAGTGGTGTTAGGCAGTCAACACTGTCCTGCTTGAAGATCTGACATCCTGGTGACCTGTGACCGAGAGGGTGGTTCCTTTTCCTATTTTGCAACTCTAATTATGGAAATAGAAGGTGACAGTTCAGATTGCCTCACAGATTACAAAAGCCAGCTCTGGGGCATGAATAATTTCAAATCATTTCTTTGTTTCATTTTTTTTCTCTGTGCATTTTACCATAGATAACTTCTACAAGCAAGAACATAATGTCTTTCTATAACATGACATTTTGTTGTCACTTAAGTTAAAACGTTCCTGTCGTTAAGTTAAAAAGGAAATAGTATTCTTTCTAGATCGAGAGTCCTTAGTGTGCACAGTTTAGGACGAAGGTCACTGTTCTGGTTGTCACAGGGTGCATTCATTATAAAAGTTACAATTACACATACATACACATGCACACACGGAACCCAAATGTCGTGGTCACCGTAATTCATTAAGAGTGACCAGCTCTGGTTAAAGTCACGTAGAAGCCCGTCACTCTGGTAGTTTCAGTGGAATGTCCTTCAAGAAGTTCTATTTTCAAGGCCCTTCTGAACTAAGTTCAAGAAATTTGCTCTGGCCCCACTGTTTTCTTATTGTCTTCTTGATTAAGTACTTTATCAGCTTGACAGGGCTCAATATGCTCACTCTGGGCAAAGTTGCAGGAGTCTTGCCTAAGACAGTGACGCTTCATAGCCACTATGATTACAACGCAAGGTTTCCTTCCCTTCATATTTTCTTGTTGCTATAAGCACATACAAGGCCTCAGATTCTATACACCCTTTGTGCCTTCCTTTCTTTCATGTTCTCCTTTGAAAGCTCCATTGACATAGTTCAATTGCTACCTTTCTCTTAGTTCATGGCAGTATACTATGTTTGCTCTACAAAGTAGGTACTCTTTCTTACAACACTGTGAGTGATTACTATTAGAAATTATCATGGTAATTACTGATAGTGATTAAATGTACTTTCTTTTTCCATGACCCTCACCTCCACTTTTGTTTGCACTTGGCCTGGGAACCTACTTGAGGCCCCAACAACTCAAGCAAGGGAGGAACAAGGAGAAAGAGACTGGGAGGGTCTATTGCACCTAACCTGGGTCCACAGCAGGCTCTTGAAAGAGGCAGTCTACTCAAACAGCAGTGTCTTTGGAGGTGCAGCAAAGCGGGCTCCATCACTTACCTCCAGCTTCCAAGAAGGTCCAACTCATCAGACGGGCTTGCATTCGTGTTGGTATTTTTTTAGTTCTTTATGGCTACTTGGTGTATGACCTGCTGATTCCTCTGCTCTATTATTATTACTTTTTTTACACATGCCATTTCCCCAGTCTTGGCTGCTTTATCCCTGGATTATTGCAACCTCTTAACTGGTCTCCATGCCTTGA